CATCAAAATTTTATGACGACCTACGTATATTCGGCAAACGTAACATAGCATGGTGTAGTCGTATTCATTCTTAATCTTCATGTATGTTCGCACTTCTAGATCTGAGAGGAAGTGCAATAAAGCCTTTATCTCATTATCACATGGCGTGTTTACTGACTCTGGTGACTATCAGATTGAGACGTGATGTTTGTATACTAGTACTCTCCAAGCAGAGGTTAGCCTTGTTTTGGACGTTTGTTAGGCGTTTTAGGCAATATTGCGGGCTTTCTATTTTGTCCGATGCTTTCTTTGGGTGTAGGGTAGCTTATCCGAAGAATGCTAGAAAAGCTGGCCGAACAGAAAGCCCGAGAACACGCATAAAACATCTCAAACAGGCGTTACCTCTGCTTGGAGAGTAATGTTTGAACACGCCGGAGTGGGTACAGTTAGTCCGCGCACCGCTGACTCTCAGCCGTAAAGACCTCAGTCAACCATGGGCATTGTCTGGCCAGGTGAGCGGACAGGTAATTTTCCCAGACAAACACAGCTCACCGCCTCTGTTGCTGGGGTAGTAAGGGGGGTGTCACCCACACAGTAGCCGGTTACTGGTTACAAGCTAAGTGCATGACTTGTCATGAAAAGTATATATGGATGGCAATTATGGACCATGGGTGAGAGCCAGGGCCATTATGTGGTGGCATTGCGGAGTAGTCGCCGATCTAGGCATGGTATCGTCTTCGGACCAGATGTTCATCCTGGTGCGGTACTAGCTGATACTTGCGCGATGGAATACTTATTGGGCAAGAAATACCAAAGTATTGAGTAAGAGTTTTGGGAATTTCTACGTTTGTCTCATTCCGGGTGTCTCTGTTTACATCTATGTATTTACCCATTGCCATCCAGCCAACAAGTGTTAAGTGAAATAGGCGTTAAGTGCGTGCCTTTCCAAGGACACAGCAATGGGGTCTGCCAGGGATATGAACCCAGAACCTTCGGATTCTGAGTCAACAACAAGAGTCCCTAACCACAAAACTTCGACGCTATCACTCAACTGTAGGAACACAAATGATAACGCTTGCAAACACTCAACAAACTTAACAATACCTGCGTACACAGAGGTATTAAACAAGCTCAAATTAGTCCAGAAGTGTCCGATGTTCACATATAGAAAATCTGCCCTTCAAACATCTGAATAGTTCAAGACTTAACTAAGATCCGTAGATAACACATTTAGTTCAGCAATGCAAGCGATATCATCGAATATGGAACTCGCTGTGACAAGAATGTACGAGTAACCGAACCTGTCAAGCAATGAAAATACCGACTTTAAACGCGCATCTGTTCACTAAAACAGAGGAATCTGAGGTTTGAAACAATCACAGTTAACACGTGTGTCACGTTACATACACACTGTGTTTACTATTTATTTAGTGTAGTACATATACTACACAACGACGTTCAAAGCACGCCGAAATTAAAGTAAGAAAGCATTTCATATTGAAGAGTTTATAGTTAGGATTACAAATATTACCACGACCTCTATCGTTCAAGGAATTCGAGATAATAAAAGAGGTTCAAATACACTGTAAGGAGACCCGTTGCTAGGGTGACGTAATATGCTAAACATGGCTACTGTATGTGAGCGAAGGTGTCGTCTGCAGGAGAGAGACAAAAACGCGCGCCAAACACACAACAGAAAGGCAATGGAAGGCATCTGTTGGCGTATTTCTTTGGAGACATATCAGTATTGAAGCTAGTATGAAGAAAACGCCTTGATTTTACAACCCATTGATGTTTGTATGTTCTAATACAACAGACTGACGTCATGCATGTGTATCTACATCACCGCTAGTAACCTTCCATAGCTAGCGCTTAGCACTGTTATGTTCTTACATGTATTGGGAAGAGACATTAGATCCACACATACAGTGCAGATGTTGTATAATTGTAGGCGAGCGCTTTTGCAGGTAGAAGGCGGGGCAAGAGTCTTGTTAAACCCGCCAAAAGTAGGATGAAACGGCAATAAAGACTCAGGCAAACAGTCCGCTCCATCACCCGATATCAGAACACGTAACGCGACCGCTCACGCGCTGGATGCGATGACAAGAAAAACAACCTTCAAAAGGTTGAACTCAGGGTGGTCAAGACGACAGTACTAGTAACACACCAAGTTTTCCTCCCTATTTTGCCGACTTTTAAGACTTGGTAGAGGAATACTTAAGGGTCCTCAATACCATAACAAAGTCTTACCTGTAGCCGCTCGGCTCAGGTGCGTCTTTGCATGTTTGTTTAATCTTAATGTACCATAGTGACAACGTTAGGAGGGCAAATAAAGTATATCATGGCTAGTTTGGTACCTCTCTACGCAGGTATACCCTTAATAGATCCTGCACACCTGAAGGATCCATAACACAAACCCTTTAGCTGCAGAAGGCATGAAAGAAACTCTGTGAACCACTGTGAGACGAACACGTCGTAAACAAGATGGTTCACGGCTGGAACACGCTTCCAAAGATTAGACAAAGTCAAAGGAAATTTTGCAAGATAAAAGGCATAGACTTGACAAACCCGTTTGTACACAAGAATGGTTAATTTTTTGCTCCTGCAATTACGTAGGAAATGCGTACGCCGTCTACAAAACAACCACCTGTTCGGGGCATCTTGAAGCCCACAAAACGGACACCTGCAGGCTGGAATCCTGTGGAATTCGCACAAAAACAGCGGGAACATATTACCTTTCATCAGCGGTGGTGCTTGTCCAGGAGGTCTGGGGCTGGGACCAGAGTTTGTCCGGGGCTGACTTGACCAGTCTTCTCTCCTGAGGACTCATGTACATCTTGTACCTCGCGAAGGTAGCGGGAGAATACATCTTCAGTGTCATGATGAGTCGCTTTAGGAGGATGTCTCTTATCCGTGTTGCAAAGTCGCTTAGTTCGGGACGACTGCCTTCCGTGTGCAGTCACGGTCTCACCATGTGCGTGAACGTGAACGTTGAACGTACCGCCGTAGCTCCGCGTAGCCCTAGCTCAACGCAGCAAATAATCCGAGAAAGTTGTCCAAGAAAATCTCCTGTAGTGTGACTGAAGTCAGCCGCGTCGCGTTGCCACGAGAGACCACCTCTCCAGCCGACATCTCAAAAATCTCATCTCAATAGGAAAAATAAACAGGAACAAATCTCCTTTTCAGTAGCCTTGCGTGACGGCGTCATCCAACCCCTTAATTGCACATACTTGTGGAGGCTTACCTTCCCCGACTCTTCAAGCAAGTGTTCGGAAAGCCTTTCTCTCCGCTGGCCGTATTGTTTTAGCTATTGCCACAAGGATGAAAACTGTTCAGTAGCGACCATCCGGCGTTGCTTAGCGGCTACTAAGTAAGACATGAACCAAGACAATAAGACATGCGGGAATATAAAGGAAACAGCACGGTGTTTTGGGTCGTGGGAGGAGAAGCCGAAAGAGGATTATGTTTCTGAGCCATTCTGTGAGATCCCTGTTGTAACGTATGGTCGGCTTGGCAGAGCGTTCAGTTACAAAGACGCTGCGTACCAACCTAAAAGGGAGTAGCCTACCCATAGAAAACACGATGTAATACAAGTGTAGTTTTGGAGACAGGGTTTCGGGAAGGCGTTTTGAGTTTCCGTGGTGCGTAGAGAACTTTTCTAGGGAAAACATGTTTCGTGTATTCCCTTACGGCGTGATTGTTACACATGTTTTGCGTGGTCCAAACTGGGAGTAAAGGTGTATTGACATAAGCTCAGGAGACGAGAGTTTAAGGGTAGTAACGCATATGTATCTCTTTTAACTGTACCGGTGAAATAACAGTCGATCGCGTGTTTGTTTAAAGTATCGTTCTGTCTGATAACTCTCACTTTACAGTTTTCCCCGAACAATGATCGCAGAAGGAGAGCGTCTACGTAGCAGGCGCTGACGCAAGCCAATAGACAACATAAGAACAACAACAACTTTCTGGGATAAGGGTTACGTATCTGTCAGGCGTCTATTTACTTTTTACCTTCGCCAAGAAGGTTGTGTTGTCGTTGCCTTTCGTGTGCCTGTGTGTGTGTCAACACTATATGATAGATTGTCTTAAAATATTTGGTAGGTGGGTAGGTCTTAATAAGCGCTCGAAATGATTTTGTTATGGTACTGCAGCTGAATTTCGATTTTGATATCTCGTGATCTGGACATGCTAGAGTCACGAATTTTAAATGGGGGGTAACTCTTGGACTAGGAAAGAGGTGACGTGAGTCTGGGTCTCCTAGCAGTTTACCTGCAGGAGCATTTGTTGAAAAATATTTGAAGGATAACTCAAGAACCAATTGACAGATCATCGTGAATTTGCAGCTTTGCTTTTCGCCCTTTGTCCAAGATCTTGTTAATGTTTAGTACAGTGTAGTGATGTTCACGATCCTTGACGAAGTGTTCAGAACTACAGAGTGTTCTATGCTCACCTGGGACAACTATTCAACTCTTCCTCATCACCTGTCAGTAAGAACGTCTACAGAGCTTTAATACCCCGTACCCTTCCCAGGTACTCGGCACTAAGAGGGCATGTCCTCAGCGGTTGTTCTTAAAAGAAGTACTTCCTCATGTTTGTTTGCATTAAGACGGTTCTCAAAAACAGCTGCTACGAAAAGATGACAAATTTGACAATAGATTGAGCTGAAATAATCATGTACTGGCGTCACGCGCCTTGGGGTATCTTTGTCCCCAAAACGTGTATCGTTAGCATGAGTATTATCAATGTAGCGCTAACCAAGCAAATCTAAAAAAAAGGCAAATTCTTCACAATAACAGCAGAGGAATTACTGTTACAAAAGTGTGAGGGCCAATAGCACGTGGTTCAAAACAACCGTCTTCTTCAAGCAGATGAATGTGAAAATAAGAGGCATTTGCGGCAGTCCCAAATCTAAAGCCAAGTAAAGGATAGTGTGTCCGGAGACCACATCAAAGCGACCACTATGTGGTAGAAAATTACTGGAAATCGTATTAGCGGACAGGTGGCAACACAAGGCCCTGAAAGAGACACATTTAGGTACCTTCATGCCATTCCTTATAAGGCGCGTCCTAAGCCCTAACGCATACTATTGGATACAAAATGTTTTCAGAAAGAAAACGGTATGGTCTCTACAACGACGCCAACAAGTTTCCACAGAATTGAAATCATTATCATTAAAAAAAGTAAACGTAGGTCATTTAGATTTAGATAGATCGCACAGAACGAATATGAAGGAAAAAATAGGAAATTGTGAGAAAGACGCGATGAAAGAAATGAAGACCAAGCGAATGGGAGAGGAGACATTGGAAGGAAAAAGATACAACTAACAGTTAACTTTTAGTAAATAGAGAATCAAGGAAGAAGGATCCAGAAAGTGTCAAGAATGAAGTGAAGTTGTGAACATCAGCGATTCATGGCCAAAAGGCGCAAATTCCGTACTACTAAAAGTAACGCATTCCAGCAGATCACCTCGTATTGCCCATCATCTTTTTCCAACGGGGGAAGGAGTAAAGGTTCCCAATTTAAAGATCTAAAGTAGAACGTGCGATTTTGTTAAATCATAGGGATGGAAAAGAGAAATGGAGAAATTACCTGGGAAACATGTCGCTGCCGTCCTGACGCCGTTATGTAAGCGTCATGACCAGGCAGCGCGGCGGGGAGGGGATTTCCACATGGCCGGCATGTGAAGGACCTGCAGCTGCGCCAAGAACACTCCGACTTATCGACCTTCCTTACACGTACCACGCAAAACCTCAAAACTTCAGTCCTCACTACAACCATCATCAGTTTGTTAGGAACAATCGTCAACGTTTCTGTCGTTGTGTAGTAAAAGCGAGGTTAGCTTTCTGTAAATCCACCTTACGTCAAGCTTTGTTGATGACGGTTTCAAAGCAGTTATGCCTAAGGAAGACGTGAAGTCAAAATCTTCAGAAAAGGTGAACTTTTGATATTTCCACCATGACGTCACGGAGTACCCATGTCGTCAGGCAAGCTTACTGAGTCATACTTCACCCGTTACATGTGTCATACAGTATCAACAATCTGAGACACTGTGAAGGTTTTTTTTAGTACTACCGGACAAATTATACCTATATTTGGAAGGGTCGATATTGGACTGGGCAAATGACTAAGAGCACACTACGAGACTTGAAACCACATGCATAAAGAATGAATAACTAGATGAATCGCACGTCGAATTGGGCGAAAAGTCACGTTTTGCCTAAAACCAACTTAAATATACATCATGGATAATCACTATGCTACTGTTCGAAAAGACGTACACCACATTAGGAAATAGAAGGGAGATGCAAGAATTCTCTCATTGGTCTAACCGCTAATTGCCATGCTATCGATCATTGATTGTACCGCTGATATAATTGTAATGGACGGTCAGGATTGGTCTATTACATAGTATTACATAACATACTACATGTCTGAAGTTGCACCACAGTGCCAAACTGAAATATATCCACCGGTACAATTTGTAACCACGACCGTCACAACGATTCGGGATAAATGAACACGAGATCATGTTAGTAACAGAAAAGTGGCACTTGTTTTTCATAAGGAGCACTTTCTACCCAGGTGACAGTAATACAATCTCATGGGAGCCTCACAGGTACTCAAGAAAAAATGAGGAGGGGGGGGGGCAGATGGAAGAGGCCAATAATTGTGCTAGCACCATTGAAATGTTTTATTACGAAAGTGTTATGAATATCCAGTCTTTACAAACACCTTTCTTCCTAATTTGTCACTTTGAGTACTTTGGAGGACAGTGAGAACTTTTAAATCAAGGAAAATATATAAATTCGTCCTCGACATTCAAAAATAGCACCAATTTCTTGTTAGTATACCTAAGTAGATCTACTTCCATTGGTACAAAAGTATGTTCCAGGAAATCTTAATCCTATCGACAAATTTGCTGGAAATGTTATGTTTTCAGAAGCTACTACACAGGACAGCATTGCGTTATATATGTAACGTTATCGCTTATGACGTGGTTAAAGACAACATGTAAGGAATCTTTTACAACATCTTACGTCTCAAGATGACCCTTAATGGCACTATGATTGGTAAGAATCCCACGTACCTATGCTCAAGGATAACTGTGACAAGGAACACAGATTTGATAGGTTTATATGCATCTAAATATGTTTCCAATGTACACATAGCCTAATACTGTCTCCACACAAGTATATACTTCGGAGTTAGGCCCTCCTTAGTGACCATTTTTCCGGACTTGTTTTTATTACAAAGTACAGCTAAAACAAGAACATATCGGTAACGTGACTGATTCGTTTCTAATCATTTCCTGTTCATACTTGACCTCTGCTACAGTGTACAAAATATACAAGTGTAACTGTAATGCGGTTTTACACAATGTCCACTATCTCGCGGTATAAAAAATGTCTAGTACGTTGCTACTAGTGAAAAAATAGTTGTGTACAGAAAGAAATGTGTCTAAGAATGCTCCTACGTCTTCCTAAATTTGACTTCGTTTATTCGTTCGATCGATCGGATTGACAGTTTACAGGTCGTCGTCCCACTCGTTCTCCCAGTTGTCGGGAGCTTCGTCGGCGAGCGCGAACTCGCTGGGCTCCGGGTACGTCTCGCCTTCCCTCGGCAGGACCTCGAGGAAGGCCGAGGCTTCGGCAGAGCCGTACGAGTTCTTTCCAACACACGTGTATGTGCCTTGGTCACTGGAGGAACAAAAAGAGAAACAGTTAAAACAGTTGTATGATTCAGGGCTCCTGAATCAACGTCTAATCTACGTACTACATTAAAAGTGAAAAGTGGTAGAAGCTTAGATGATCATATGAGTGTTGTTATCCAGACTGAAGAGTGCGTAACTTAGCCCATCTTACGCTACCGATAGCTACTAGTGGACAGAATGTTGCTGTTTACACCATAAGGGTTTGTGATTTTTTAGCCAAATTATCAGGAGTCACTGGCTCTTGTTTTAACGAAGGTTACAAACAGAAACAGAAAATACGACATAATGATGTCAATATGCTCCCCGTAAAAGAGATTGTAAGTGTCATTCACATGGAGAATTTGTTCTCGGGAAAATGTTTTTAATTTTTGGACCTAAATCTTATATAATGGCAGCATAAGCAAGGACGTTTTTATCACATTTTATAAAACGTCCTTGGGTAGAAGAGACATGAACACGTACGTGTTCCTCAGGTCCTGGATCTGCAGCCAGGCGGTGACCTCGTACTTCTCGGGCCCGCCGCGCGCCTGGACGGCCACGTGCATGTCATCCCCGGGCATGAGGCTGGTGCCGTCCTTCAGCCACTCCACCACGGCGATGGGGAAGCCGTGCACCTCGCAGCTCAGAACGATGTTACCGCCGGTCTTGTTCTTCAGGGCCTCGGGGCCAGTACGGATGAAAGGAGCTGAAACAAAGAAAACAACCCAAAGATCAGACGTTTCTAACCTCCGGGAAGTTTTACTAGTATATGGTTTTCATAAAGTTTTTGGCACCACCAAAGTGATGGTATAGTGCATTACAACGGACCTAGGACATAATACCTTGCAGGTGTGCATGGGCCTAACTTGTCGTGACAACCCCGGTCACTTGTAGCTTGTAGTAAATTTGTTGGTGACTCGGTGTGGATTGTCATTCTCAATCTGCGGTTGCAAAACCTTCGCTCCTTTCCATGCACACAGACACACAGACACGCGTGCGCGTGCACATGCTGAGATGCTGCAGTTAGAGCAACTTTCGCTAGAGGAGGATACATGGATGTACTCCTCTACTCTGTGTACATTTCACAAATGTCGTTGTTATCAAATCTTCCAGCAGATGTTGTTGGTTGTCTTTATAAACATACCTCCTACGCCTTGGCTAACAATGACTGCCACGAAAACGTCCAACGAAACTGAGACAGACAGACAGGAACTTTAAACGATACCCCACACCACGTCTGCTTGGAGATGACTGAAGCCGTCTGTTTGGCAGTGTAACTTGGCACTTCCCCAACTATGCAGTGACATGCGCCCTTGGATTTGACCCTGCCATTGACACAAGCTGTTCGCACAACAGCCAAGTCCCGTCTCCCCCACACACCAGACAGGAAGTTGGGTTGAAGCCGACAACCACAACGAAACGCAAAGTAAACATGCCGTGAGGCATGACCCACATTGTGGACCGCCACAATACAGGACAACGGCGCAGTCAGAATACTAGTAGTCGTAGGTCGGCGTACGGTTTTGATATTGTAGAATTAAAAAAAAAGGCTGAGAGAGAACCAACCACCGACAAGGATGTAAGACAGCCTTTTCCGTAACATCTAAATTTTGCTGCAGGACACCTGCTATCCCAACAATGCCCCCTGAATCTGTAATCACGCTCGTACGTTCGTTGATTACAATTAGTCTTGATCATATTTTGCTCGTGACATGGACATAAACCTAGATCTTGACTGTAGATCGCGGTGGCACATCAAATCCGAGGATGGTTTTACCATACATTGCGGTTTGACTTTCATTGTGTCACAGTGTCTTTCCAATTACCAGATACCGCTGTGTCAGACATCTACCAAGACGTCGGGCTAGCTTTTCTCAACTTTTATCTTCCAGAGATTATGGGGTGTGACGCTCCCTGGTTGCTCTTTGTTATCGATAACACCGGAGATAGATAATTTAGATCAGGATTCGATTTCCTTACTTCTACGTCCCTTCCAACTTCAAGGAAAAAGTCTACGAATACAGTATCGACTAGCAAACGTAATTAGTTTTCGGCCGAACATTCGGCTCATGGCCTAAAAATGCTGTAAACAAAACAGCCATTCTGGCTTTCACATCACAAGTCATCTTGAACACTTCAATGGCTGTATTAATTGGCCACAGAACATCCTGGATAGATAACAGGGTACAAAACTGGGGCAGTTCTGGGGGGCAAGGGTTTTTCCAAGGAGGTATATCTCTATGGTTTTTCTACTCCTTCCAATACAACAGCCAATGTGCATGTAACGTAGAGTCAACACATCTAAAACTGACAAACAGGGATGAGTGTTTCCCTGGGTGCTGTTCAGGCATGTAAAAGGAGTTTTGTTATATAGGGGACCGGCTGTTGTATATATATAGGTTACTCTTTGGGGTTCTTGACCAAGAGGGTCATCAATGCGGCCGTACAAAGTAGAACCGCCGACGGCTGGATGTTGTAGGCAAGCTCATTTGATGTGGATATAAACGTTAATGCAGATTGACATTTTTTTAGATGTCTTTGACCTATCCAGGGATAAACCATTCACATATCACGGTGGTCGCGGGTTTAATTGTCTTGCCAATGTGCACTCCCATGGCTATTAAACTCCTCTGGTATCTATTTGGCCCAAGTCTGGTGGAGACTACCGTGTTGACTGTTGTCTAGACATAATAAGACACGATTTCCTGCCATAGCCAAGGTTCCATGATGTGACCGTGACTTCCTTTTTAATTTGTCCCTGCATACCCAGGACCGTTACCCCGGGAGATCGCTACCCGGAGAAATCACACATGGGAATCGGTCCCCCTGTGTTTTCACTCAGGCCTGCAATCAACTCACACCGCGTCACACCGCTGACGTGGCGTTACCGTAGCCTCGGAACACAGGCCAGCAAAATTTAGCCTGGATACCGGACTGTCTCCAGGCAAAGTCAGACGTTAGAGAAAGGTCAAGCAGCAAGGGTTTTGAGGTAAGAAACTATGAACGAAAAAACGATGAACGAAAAAAAGCGCAATTCAGTCATGGATTTCAGATAACGTTGCGTTAGATGAGCAGTTTTTTCCTGGCAACGTTGCACGGTTTTTGGGCAACTTGTGTAATTTTCGCATTTCGTAGCTGATGGATTTAGAATTAGAGGATTGTTTGTCATCATAAACACATCGTAAAACTACTACTACAAAAAATTACCTCCTTGGTTGGCTTTTCTGGCGTAGCCAAAGAAGTGATAGCAAGTTAATTTAGACCAGAGATTCAGAAAGAGCGATGATTAGATAGGGAGAGAATGGCATCCATGGTAAACTGGGCCACTTGTGATCTCACCCGTGATGGAGGCTGCTGTAGGAGTATTCAACATATGTATGTTTTTCACAGCATCATTTCTGCACATATTATTTGTTTCATTGAAATAGATTTATATTTAATGTTACAGCTAGTAGTATCAGATAACTATATACAACCGCTAGCCTGTGGTTTTGCCCCTAGCATAAAGTTTGCATTGAAAGACTTATACAGGTAGTTAGACATACAACAGTATTTTAGGTTCACAGTCCATTATCAAGTGGGTAGAAGTCGGTACTCGGGAAACCCCTACTTCATCCCTAGTACGTCACGAACTCGTTCCATCGGTAATCCGGGTAAAGCCGGTCCAGCTGGGACCATGTGGGCTGGCAGTGCCCCAAATTTCTAGAATGTTCCCCTAGTCTGGACAGGAAGAGTTCTTATTATACTACAACACCATCCTGTCTTCATCGCTGCTAGAACTTTCCAGAACAGAAAGAAAGAATCTGTTTCAGTGTTTGTCACGTCTGAGAATCATGTACGCTAATAGTATAAATTAGGCACAATAGCAAGAATATCTTATCAGAATTGTCAAGTTCGGAGTCGACTAGTCCAGCTTTCACACAATTTTTGTTATCTAAAAATACAACCGCGAGATGGACCTGTTTTGATGATCTGTGACAGAACAGTTCTACAAAGAAGATGTCCTAATAATCGGATTTATGTGTCTGTTAGATCGTATTGACAAAATTGCTGAAGTTTCTAAACAAAATCTCAAGAGACCAAAGCCGCAGTACGGTGTTTACACAAGGTCTGTCTTCAATGTCAACACTCGTGATGTTTAGTCGTCTAATCGGTCGGAGATTAAGAGTTGATGGTTTTGTTGTTTTCCCAGTTCTTCTCTGGCCGTGTGTAAGATTTAAACACTGCTGTTTACGGCCCCTAGCTGTGCATATTGACTGAACAAACTGGCAAACTTTGTCTATCGGCATTTTGCAACAAACGTCTGATTAAACATGGCGCCCCTGGCCTTTACTTCACAGCAGGTCGTTGACCGCTGAACTCGTACTGGTGACTTGTCAGAAAGATTACTAGTATTTTATCTGACGAGCATATTGATACAGGTACGTCACATTTTTAAGTCCGCTACCGGACTTTTTTTACAGGGATTGTTGGTCACGAAAGTAATGTTAGTTTAAATTACGATGAAAGAAGAACAGTATGATTTCTCTGCATTGTGACCTAGAACTGACAATATGGCGAGATTTTGGTTGCCAAATATGAATTTTTAATGGTTGGAAATTCTTGGCCAATGTGACGTCTGAAACTGTGAACCCTTCGCCATAACATTTCTACCACGTCGTTGCGCAAATCTTTTATCTTTCTATATTCAAGATTTACTTGTATTTCATCACAGGCACGTGTACATGCATGTGAAGCCCTTACCAGTTTTACACGGTCCCTTGTGCTCCAGTTTGATGGGAGTCTTGCTGTGGAAGGCGGCGGTGATCATCTGACAGATGTTCCCGTACGTCACGCCGTCAGAGCCGCACATGTCCTCCTGGAACCACGGGGAAAACAACGTCAAGTTCACCGATTAAAAAAAATATAATGTACCATTCTGTTAATTTTCTGTCCTTGCAAATTTTCAGTCCACTCAGTGTTAAACCGGCTGATGAAGGAAATCTCGTCTTCTTTGCGGTTCTTGACGTCACTGAAATGCAATTGATGTATTTCAGCCAAACGAATAGATAAATAATAGTAAATTGATAATTAGATGCACAGTTTTTCTGATATTGATCTCTGCTGGCAAAATATTCTATCTCCAAGCAGAGGTTTGGGTTTTGGCTTATTGTTGGCGTCTTTTTAGGCGTTTTTTATCGGGGTTTCTTTCATTTCTGCTGCATGCATTGGAACTGTGGAGGAGGTTGCATGATGTTATCTGATCGACAATCACACCTCTTCCTGAATTCCGCCACATACCACCCTCTTACTCCGACCCGACGTACTAGTATGCTGAGTTGATGTAATTAATCAACTGTCAAAATCACCTTCCACAACCGTCGCTACTTGGACAGACAGACAGACAGACACACATACAAACCCACAGCTCAGCCACCGGATGTAAAATCTACTTACGGAGGATTTACAGAAGCAGATGTTGTCGGGAACCTCTCCGTCCTCGGCAGAGTCGACGTTGGGACGGCACTCCAGGTGCTTTCCGCACTCCCCGAAAACCCTGTCATCTCCTCTCAGGTCACACAGGTCACCCTCCATGTTGGCGCACACCTCGCAACAGCCACACCTGTCCTGGGAGGGGAAAGGGGATGGAGGGGGCATTAGAAGGATCGTGTAAATTACTCTCCAAGCAGACTGAGAGGTTTGGGTTTTGGGTTATTTGGGGCGTGTTTTTTTTTTAAATCTGGGTTTCTTTTTTGCACTGGGTGAAAATAAATTCCAGTACGTGAGTGCAAAAAGAAACCTTGATAAAAAAACCTACAAAACACGCCAAAAATAACCCCAAACCCAAACCTCTGTTTGGAGAGTACGTATAAATACAAGGTGTGTGTGTTGCGCGTGTGTTGTGGTAAAACATTTTTTTTTTCTTAATTCCGGGACATGTTAGCTCTAGCCTCTACCAGGCTTCGGGAGGCGACTGAAAAGTGTAGAAATTGGCCAAATAGAGACATAACATGTCAGGGGAGTAAGTAAGTCAGCTGGAGAGCGGCAAACCAAGTATTCTCCAGCAGACCAAGGAGCAGTAGACCAACTCCCCTGACATGTTACCAGCCGCTTCCTGAAGCCTGGTAGAGGCTATGGATGACCTGAGTGCCACCATGTATCATTTGCATACTGGGCTAGAGCCGAGGAGCTGGAAAGTTGTAATAACATGCTGTAAAATAATATATTTGTTAGCATTCAGTTCGGCACAGAGCATTGGGGATCCGGACGGATACACTTCAGCTAAAAGCGAGTGTCAACGGGGATTGGGCCGTTACATTCGTTGCCACGGAAATTTCAATGACTTGCTGATTGTGGGTAAAGCGGGTGTTATTTCAAGTGACGACCTGGGGAGGGCGATAAGTACAATCACGCTGAGAAAATGACAAGGCTGGTCTCAACACAATGGGCATTGCAGTCCAATAATTGAGTTGTTTTTATTATGCGTTTTTATGCAAAAGACAGTTGAACTAATCCAGGCTTTTGTTGGTGGTCAGAAGGGATTACGCGATTAGCACAGTTTGAGGGGACTAACCGTTTTTGCTTTCGAGAGGAGTGCGAACACTAGAATGTCAAATCAAAGTACGAGAGCTGGCCGCCACGTCAATGGACTGCGACATTATGTACACATCCCTACGACTTTTCTTTCACAGTGATTCAGACTTCAGGTGAAATCTTCGACTACTTTTCAGCACTGGCGGTTTTTGTTAGCTTGTATGGATGTAACAAAAAATAGCCAGACCACGTAGCCACGCAATTCGCGCAATATAGCACCAGTGCGTCCCCGACCCCCTTCCCGCCTTCTGAAAACTAGACCCAGCTGTTCGGTGACGTGGCGGTCCATCCCCCGTCCCCTAGCCTGGATATAAGGCCGTTTCAAGGGATGCCTACAGGACCAACATGCCCACAAAAAAGAAATATAACTACGGTCCCGCTTGAGCCTGACTGAGAAACAGGTCTCTCTTCTTTTTCTCCGGGTCTATGGTGGAAGGGGGCAGGGTGTATGTTGGACCTGGAGCCCAGAATCTAGCTATGGATACGGCACTGAAAACAGCCTGGCATCGAGGCTAACATCACGGCACAACCCCTTTTCACTTGACACACAGTTGACCCACAAACGAAACAGCACAAACATGTCATCACAATTCAAGTCAGTAGAATAAACACACAGGTTTTGTTTATTTCCCTACCACGGCCACTCCCGAACCACCACAAGCTCTACCCACGACTGAGCAAAAAGTTGACACATTCCTTACAGCGGACCGCTAAACAACTTCTTTACGACCGATTGGGTCTATAAGTATAACGGTGGAAAGTGGTGCTATCAAACTCTTTGGATAAAAGGGTGGTTGCAAACTGAATCAAAGCCAATGGAAGCGAAGTAAAAAAAAACTGTCCACGTCTTTCGATGTCTGAGAATTTCTCCGGTGATAAAAGCGGGGCATATTTTATAGTGGGTGGGGAAAGTACCGGAAACTATACAGCTTTGGACCTTACCAAAAAGCAAAAGCTGGCGACGCCATCACATAATTTTTAATTCTTGGATGTTGTGAGCATCTATAAAGTCACGTTCTGTCATCAGTAAGCAACAACGTGGCATGTCGCTGAAGATATACAGTTTATGATATTAGAGTAGAGTAGAGTAGATCTTTCGTCTCGGTAGGAAGTTCTCTTCCACTTTGGGCAGTTTGGCAGATTTTTCTTCTTCTTGGCTTTGATCTGAAAACGGCGGCTAGACCCATGGTAATATTTCATCCTTCCTCGTATAATATATACAAGAACTTCAGGAAATTAGAAACAGCAGCAGTGAGATAAGTCCTACTTGTCTAGGCAGATATACTTTGTACTAGAAACATTCATACAAGCGTTACCTCTTTTTAAACCTCCTGGCCGGAACATCTATAATCTGTAACGTGCATAATAAAAACTGAAAAATCTTCCACGTATGGAAACTCTGGTATTGGAAGAAGCTATTTTTTGCAACACAAGAAGACCTTGGATTAGCGAGGCCCCGAGTTGTGTTTGTGCGATAATTCAAACCACTTGCCCGCACTCCCTTGGCAAACCCACGGATTTTTCTTCAGGCACGGACTTAATCAAAACAAGAAGGTTCTTTGATGAAAAGGATTGGGTCTCTTTCCGTTTGTCGTGTCGGCGACAGAACTTTCCGACAGTTCGTGGAAAACCGAAAATAGTTTGGACCATGGAAATAAATTCTCGGGAAACTGCACCTTCCTTGTACGGGACGGTACGTTGTATTCAACAGTGGGGTCTGTGAGCCTTCGTACTGGGTCAAATCAGTGTCCGGCCCTGTACTGTGCAAGTAAGTTAGTAACTGCCCTCTGAACTGAACTGAAGTTGAATAAGTCACTAGCAAAAATATGTAGACTGCTAAAGTAGGATAATGACCTTTTTGGCCCGTTTGGTAATGTAAATCCAAAAACAATGCAGAACACAATGCCACAGAAGGTGATAATCGCAGTAAGAAGAGCACGGCATTGACACATGTTTATGGTAATCCTCTGTACATGAATTTTGCAACAAGTCAAAGGTTCAAAACTCAAGCCAACTTCATCTAGCATTTCTAACCTAACTGCTAAATGTAGACACAGCAAACATCACTGCCTACCGTTTGACAATAGAAAAACAAGGAAGATATTTACTAACCATCTTCTTCCCGGCCACACATCCCAGGGCCTCCGGACACTCCTCTGGACACTCTTCGGGACACTCGTCATCCTCGGGGATGGTCTCGTTATCTTCCCCCGTAGGAGCCGCGAAAACCACGCCGAACAGAAGAGCTAGCAGCCCGACCACCAGAAATCGCTTCATCGTTGGTTTTTGAACGGGAAAAGAGCGACCGAGATAGCACTGATGCTGTTTGACCTGTGATGGTCAGAGAAAATATGGCGGACACCGGAAAGTAATCGCAGGCGCTGGGTGGGGGAATCGCGGTTTGGGTTTCGTCAGGAGGCCGTGTGTATCAGCGGGGAACGCGGGACGATCCACGAACTGCTGTCCGATCCGTCAGACGGCGGGGTGATGGGAAACAGATGTGGGGCCAGCGTGGGGCGCCACCCAGCGGGGAGGGACGGGCGACAGGCACCTCTGGGGTCGGGACGATGCGATAATTATCGGAGGCAAGGGTCAGAAAGTGAACTTGATTGTTACAAATGTGCGAGGACAACAACCATGACAAACCACACTTAAAGAACGCTACCTTTCATTTATAACGTCCGTTTTGTCGTTCACATCAGCCTTCAATAATATTAATGTTTCCACTATCAAACCATGGAGGTATAAAATAATTAAAACACAGAAAAATAGATAACACTACTCGTCATATTTTGTTAAAATTGTCAACACCGAAATATACTTCTCGCTTTGAGAAACAAAAGCAAGAAACCGTCAACTTGAACATACAAACATCTTATCTTCTGATCAACAACAGCTGGTGAATGCAGTTACTGCACTTGAAAGAACAGTGTCGCGCTATGAAACGCCCAAGTACTGAAGCAGATGTTGTGGGATACACATGTTCAATGTTGTTTTTGGTTTCCGAGGTCTTTGAGTGGTGACGGCAGGTATCTGTCTTCACGTTGGGAACAGCGAACGTTATTCAAAAGTGTTCGATTATTTCCAAACAAATACTTGTCAAGCAAGGGGTGCTGGCACTTATCGCTAGACCACACTTGGCGGACCTGCGGAAAGTAACACAGACCTCCGGAAGTTCAGCTTTCTGTGGTTTTACTTATCTGACTTATCTACATCCCAGGAACACCACAAGCTAAAGCCTGGAGTACTTGTTTTCCTAACAGTCCTCATTGATACGGTACATCGGTAAACCTAGCGGTTTTATGAAACTTTGCACCGTTTCAAGAGCCGTGTAGTCAACTTTTACTTTATTTTACAGATGAAAGCTTTTTTCTGATATTAAAACCAACATCTGGCTATCAAGGTGGGAACGTCTTCTGGTGGAAAAAAGTTGGACTCTATATTATGAGTGTTGAACCTAATAAAACAGACATAAACGACAGTTTGTTTTTCATCTGCAAAATGTAGATTTCGGAAACAACAGTTGGTGAAATAGTAACCTCTGCCATGGCAAAAGACAAAAATAACCTAATAGTTGCGTTGGGAATAGAATATAGCGAAAACACTTTCGGGATAATAACCGTTTTCTACGTCGAGCTGATAGTCGACGGGGTCGTCATGCGGTACATTAGTGCACCTAGCGATTTGATACAAAACTGCATATACAAGACTTCGTCCCACCTGTTGCCTACGCCAGACTCTCGACCCCATGTGGCCAACTTTATGAAAACTACTTTTCTAAAGTCGCATCTATTTGAGTAGATTTTGACAAACAATGAACTGAATGTGGAATCAACTTACTTACTAGCTCATAACACTTGTTCCTAATCTCACCACGAAACCTGTACATTTTTTCACCAAAGAATAAACGTTACGGGGGACATATTTACATTTCTTATCAATGTACAAATGTTGATGCACACGTTCTGATTTCATGCCTTTATTTTGTCGTCTGCAGCGTATAATATCTACTCGTAAGCATCCATTACCGACGTGTTTACAGCCCAAAGTTCAGTGTTTTGGACACGCGGAGGCAAATCGTGCCATATCACACACACGCATAAAACGTACAAACGTGTGTTCGTGCTGCGTTTTGCTGTAACTCTGACCACTACCAAGGACGTATTTTCAAAACGGTTAAGTGTTTATCCCACGATTTGAGTGGTTTGTACACTTCTTCTCAAACAAAATCCTCTAAACGTGCTCATACAGAATTGCCACACATGTAAGTACAAATGTATGTAAGGTCGTGTACTGAACAGTAGATAACATTCCAAAGATTAGTGTAAAAATGCTCTGCCCGACTCAAGTGGTTGATAACACACGGACTGGTCACCGATATCAGAGATGCTTTACACTGGTAATGAATGACTGTATTGTTCGCTGGATTTGTCATTGTTAATGTTGACGGACAATTTACATTAGCTATCTTTGATGTAGCGTTACAAGTCTGATATCTCCCAAGCAAATGTACGTTTTCAATATCAGATCCGCAGTATTTGATACCATATGCATATGCATTGGAGTTAATCCCACAAATCAAACCTTAGACAGTGTGTTGCTTATTATAGTTCTAGTACATCTAGATTCCAAATATATTCCACAATTTTGCGCAAAGGGGAGCAAGTTGTTCTAGAAGTTGGAGCGCCTGTGTCTACTAGTATATGAACAACTTTGAATTCACCTGTATAATCCATCTTTGTTCCAGCTATGCGTAGAATTCTGGCAAGAATGCGAATCGAGCTGTATCGAATGACTTCATAGTCCAGAGACTCTGCAGTAGTAGTTATACAAGACTGGCCACATAGCTGTCGGGTTACTTTTATAACCTCTGAGTTTTTACTGCGGCCACAAATGTCTTGACAAGGCTGCCACCATGCATGCCTTCTCTCCCGCGACATATCAAGATCTTTGTCTATGAAATCATAGCTTTCTCAATCTTGAAAATGAACAAATATCAACAGCAAACACAACTGTCAATACAGTAACGGCGACAAATACTTCAGCAGGTATTTATGTATGCGTGGGCATGTTCCTGTAATCGTTACCACACCAGTGTTTGACACAACATAAACCAAAGTGTAAGATAAGCTTCTCAAGTCTAGTACAAGTACACAAGGTGCCCTGTTTTTCTCTATACACAATGACATTTGGGACCTATGTATTTGTAGTCTGTACCTAGACTAGTGCCGCACCATTGACTACTAGCATCTTGTGATAGAGAGAATGTGAAAATACTAACCTGCATCGCAAGAGCAAGTCCACAATCCGCCCTTGCTCGGACAACATGGCATGAAGCCGATTGTTGTCGGACGACACACAGCACCCAAACTAGCAACCAGTGCCGCTCCACTCGCTATGAACTAATGACTCTATGTGTCTGACGTGCGTCTATCGCACCCCGGCCTAGGGCACATCCGGGGTATATGTGTACCGTGGACGCGCATGGAAGCCCGTCCCAAACAAACCGACTCTTTCATTCAAACCCCAGCGGAGCTGTTTCCAAAACTTGTGGTCGTCATAGCAACGGACCAAGCCGAGCCACTGTTAGGGGAGAAACACACAGTTTTGACTTTCAGATGTTCGCGCTCCAAGCGTATTGGGTGGCCTTGTTGCCATGGTAACGACAAACAGGTGGTTGCCGAACAGCCTCGTGGCCTCAAGGAATGACGTAAATTGCTGGAATCCTTCTAAGCCGCCGATAATTATAAAGAACTGTTTAAGGCCCTGTGCACGAATCTGATCGATCTAAAAGTGTTTACAGAGTCAAAGAAACAGCAACAAACTTATAACGTTCAAATGTACTACTTTTAAAAGTACTAGTAAATGTTTCTGTTGACCACTGGCACTGCTAGTGTGACTATCTACAACATAACACCACAGAATTTCCTAAGTACTAAAGTAGTTGGTCAGTTATTTTCTGGGGCCAATATATTATATAGTATCGCTTTAAGCAAGTATTCTTGCTGGAATTCATCCTCATCGCTTTAAGAAATCTAGAAGACCTCGGGGACTGCACCCAAACTGTTACTCGGCATTCTGTTGTGTTAAAAACGAAGTTAAGTTGGCGACATGAATACAAAACCACACCTTTGAACAAGTCGTCAGTTTGACTCCATTGAGACAAAAGGGGTTAGTAATGTGCACTGTAGCAAGAAATCATGCGGACAATTGGGTCAGTCCTAACGTATTTGTTATGTGTACTGTTTTAGCATCACAGAGGTGTCTAGAGTTTCCACTGGTACAAAAGTCGTCGTGTTTTGGGGTGAAAGTTACATCAACACATTGGCCGCCATGTTTCAATGACCATGCGCAACGTGGTATTTCCAAGGACATTTAGTATTTCTGAGTCATCCTTGCGTGATATTATTGGTAAAACACTTCTGGTGTCTAAGGACAACATGATAACGAATTGTGATACGACTGTGCTAGTTTGTATGTGTGTGTGTGGCAGGGGTATTTGGTACACCATGTTTATAGGCAAAAACTGCAATACTGACAGGAAAAAAAAACTATACATGTTACAATTTTCTTCACATTTTCTACCAACTAGATCTATTTTGTATACTATATGACAGCTTTCTTCCGCAGCTCATAATCATTTCTTGTGTCCTTTTCTTCCGTGGGAATTTCTCTGTACTTCATACAAGTCATCTCAATGTCAATTTGCTTATTTGTTAGAGAGGTTGCAGTGACCACAACTATCTGAAGGTTCTACACTGAGTAGTTATTGAGAATGCCCTTAGGAAATGCATTCTACACCTCCTCAGTACCTAGCTTTGGTTAGGGACGTCCTCTCCAGTGGGATATAAAACCAGAGGTCCCATGCTCCGTTTGTGAAGATTAGTCATCCAGGGTTCTATCAATAAAATAGTGTTTCAAACTTTACCACTGGATATTATAAGAATTTATTGTCAGACGTTCCAAATGTCTGTCCAATACTCTTCATTAGTGAATTGTTTACATAGGATTTAGGAGCACGTTAAAGATCCCATCACACTTATTGAAAAGAGCAGGGATCCATCCCGGAGTGAGATGATCAAGCCCTTTAGTCTCATCCTATGCAGCTTGTACTTACTGTACAAAACTGGTGTGTTATGCCTAAAAGTGGTTTACCGGTTATTCAAAGAAACCAACAAACATGATAAGCCATTGTTCACCAACATTTACTGTTCAACAACATGACATCAATCACTCATCAGGCATATCTTCTTCACAATAAAGATCTCTGCACAATTATACTTTCATATCATTTATCACCACCTTCACAAGGCGTGCATTCATAATCATCTCTTGCACATAATAATTTGGCAACATATTTCTACAATCATTAGTAATAGGTAAGTTTGTAGCTTAACACTTAAGATATTACATTGGTCCCACAGACAACAATTTTAATATTCTTGTTTGCAAGGTCCCATTGAAGTGATCGGGCAAAAACATCTAGACTCTTGCTGTGCGACGATTAAGGCTTTCTATGGTACCATTGCAAACAAATCATCTACATACATGTAACTGCTGTTTAGTAACAAAGTGTACACGCCTTTTGCAGAGCAAGATCCAGGGACCAATCAACAAATGATCAATTGGCAATTTCTTCTTAAGAATACTTTTGTGAGAAAATCTTTCAGTGATCTTTAACTGCCAACAGAGAAGCATAAATGTTGTCTCTAATACAGGAAATTGTGCTCAATCTACATCACACTTGTAGCTCAAGCCAGTGTTTCTTACTTTGACCTGCAAAGATACCATAATAAAAATGACACACCAAGAACAAGAATCAACTTGAAATTATGTCAGTTTGCTTTATGTATTGTACAATTTGCATTGAATTGGCAAGAGAAAAAAAGTAGATTTTCAGACAAGTACAATAACTAAAACATATACTACCTATATCATTAAAAGTTTACAATAAGAACATTTGAATAATTTAACAATATTAGGCATAACACCATGAGTAGAGATTTATTTGTGGCGGCTAATTTTTACATTAATAGCACCTTTGTATACATGCAGAGCAGTTTGGAAAGGGCCACAACCAGAAAAGCGTTGCAAGTGTGCAGAAAAGCGTTGCAAGTGTTTTTCAGCAATGGTTTCTGTAATTTTTTCTGTCATTTGGCAGAGAAACACTCTTTCACAAAGGTAACCATTGTTTTCTGAGGGTTTTCCTTGTATCCAGTTACATTTGTATCATATTGTATCATTTTTTTGCCACATGACGTCAAACTCTCATTTGGATGCTAATAGTCATCTTTGACAAAGACCACCAAGATATCGTATCATAAAAAAAAGCTAATCATAAAGGAGGTAAAAAAAGATACTGACAGTGCAACAGATGCAACATTTTACAACACCTCTCCATCATTTAGATACCACAGTGCATCTGGAATATTTCAAAAGCCTCTGGAAGCCAAGTGCATGTAACGGCGAGGTCACATTCATTGTAGGTCGTCGTACAATTTTGATGAGGATTTTCAAGCAACTGATGAGGATCTAAGACTTTTCTGTAACAAGACTACTGAGCACACCCATGACTATCCCAAGAATGCATTCAGTTTGCGATCAAATGGCAATCATACAATGTATGTGACCTGCCCCTAAGATAAGCCCACCGTTCCAGTCTGTGACGCTTTAGCTCTGTTATGTGACTTTCCTGCCAAAATCTCTGCCTAGGTTCAGTATCAGGAGAATGTGTGGGAGAAGAAGACAGTGGCGTTGTCGGCGTATTTGACGGGGAGTTTCTTCCCAATGCTGCGTCCTCCCAGATTGGCTGCTCCGATGGCGCAGGACTGCTTCAGCTCGAGCAGCGTGATGGTCTTGATGGCGACGTCTCTGTCGTTCCGCGGTAACATGCCTCTTAGGAAACCTAAGGACCAATGAGAATATGCCTCAATGGAACTGCCATTTAAGAATTTGGTGTGGCATCTGCTGTACTCTTTATAATAATGTAGTATGGCTTTGTGGCATCAACTGACCAAGTGGTTAAGCTACACTGTAGAAGACACAAGATCGAGAAGTCACGTGTTTGATTCCATCCATTCCTGGCTAGATGCTGAGTTCTTGGGAAAGGCACCATTTTCCTGACTTCTCTAGGTTTAAAATTGGTACCTGCCTTTGGTTAGCTAAAAAAAAGGCGATAGAAGGAGAGGGATGGGCTCTGCCTTCCAATACCAAGCCCTTAACACAGTGGATTAACAACCCATAACCTATAGAGTCTCAAAGGCTATCTACCTCTACCTTACCTGTAGTGAAACTTTAACATTGGAAGTGTTGAAGGATTAAGGATGGCTCTTGAGAGGGATGTATGAATGGAATACTACATTTGATATGGACTATTCCTAAGCTGTTACCTTCTCTGAGCACGTCCCAGCTTTTCCACACAGATCCAACACACACCACCTGCAGTCCTCCCTCTCCCTCTAGGAGGCTCTGTTGAACAGATAACACATGAAGTTTTGTGTAGCTGGCATGCACAAATTGTTATTATATGATATAAAAGATACTCTTGTTTACTTTGTATCAATCTTTAAATGGTGGTGCTACTGGCACTACATGTACATATTTATCACTATGACTATGAAATAAAATATTTACATGGTTATATTCTATCCCAGAAAAAAAATATACAAAAATATTTTCATTGCAGATTAAACTAAGACCATAACATACTAATCATGGCTATATGATCTTACATACAAGGAAAGGAAACATAGAAACATTAGAGATGTAAACAATAGTAAGACATAGCAACATGTAAGACATACGGCTATTCCGAGATCAGGGTGCGCCAATGGCATCGTGCATCGTTATGTCAATCTTACTCTGTATTTATCGCATTCTGTTGACATTTATCAAACTTGTTATACTAGTACAGTTATTTTCCAGACAATCAGGAAGAGATTTGGTGTTAAGATGTTTAAAACTTATGCTATGGCCAATTTAAGCCCAGAAATTGGCATAAAATCTACGTTATGCTGTTGCACTTTAAAACTGCCAGTTTTTGAAATATGCTTTTAAGTAATTTGGGAACAAAAAAATTGAATGAAAAGATTTGCAATATGTTCAGACATGCTCAGTCTGATATGTTTTGCAAAAAACCTGATGATGATTGGAAATTTCTCTTTTCTAGAGCGCATTTATCAATATGTTGTACACGTTATGTAAAATTCATAAATTAACACATTGCAATTAACTTATCTCCCTGTACTAAAAAGGATGATGATAGAACTGGCCATTTTGCATGTTATGCAAGGTACATCCATATATGACACAAAACATGTGTTTTTATGTTGTTTGTCCTTTGGGTTAATATGGCTGATGGCTTACAGTTACCTGTCTTTTTTGTCCGAGAAAATGTGTAGTGTCCGTTGCTCGGTAATAACTTAAAATAGAAAAGCTGTGGGTGCATATGATTTCAGGTGTTGAAACAGCTGAAGATGCTGACTTAAAACACAGTAGCTATTTCAGTCTATTACTGTAATTATATGAAATAATGTCAAAAAACCTCAAGGGTGTAGTGTCCGTTGCCATGTAGTGTCCGTTGCCAAGTATACCATATAGGTACATTAATTACATTTTGTTGCAATTTTGAAGTAATTTTGTCATTTATGTTATTTCTGTAGCATTTTGGCAACCCCTAAATGACATGTCTTGCAAGATTTGGTGTTCTTGTCATGTACTTGAGCGGCCAGATGTGGTCGGCAACGGACACTACAGCTTAGCTGTAGTGTCCGTTGCCGGCCACATCTGAAATGAATGGGCTAAGTTTGGATAGAGCACAACTTTTGAACTGAACGTCTCTATCCAAAAATTTAAAAAGTGCAATGTATGGCAACACCTCTAGTGCGATTTTCTGCACTGAAAGTAGAAAAATATAAAACTTGAAAAATTGGCCCAAGTGCAACCCTTTGGCGCACCCTGATCTCGGAATAGCCGATAGCAAGCAGAGTTGAGGCGGGGGGACCTACTTTGTCAACCTTAGGGGCCAAGGCAAGAATGTGTCTGCCTAGCATCTCCCCTGCCATGTGGAACAAAGCCAAACATAGGGGGTCCTGGAAATCCTGAGCTCCTACAGGTGAAAGGTTACAGCAGGTCATGAGTGTAAAGGACAGAGGTCAAAGATAGTAGGACAGAGGTCAAGGGTTAGTCTCATTGTGGTCATTCATTTTGACCTAATCAATAATGGAGCACTGACACACAGAAATGTTATCTCCTTGCTGATGACACAGATCTGATAGAGGTCAGAGGTGACAGGTCGGATGTGAAAGGTTAGAGTTGACAGGGGTTGGTGAGTGTCACTGATTACCGTTGTTGTACCTTGTCAATTTTTGAAGAGAGGGCACAGATGTGCTTGCCTAACGCCTCTCCAGCCTGAGCGAAAATTATTTGGCACAGTTTGTCTCCTTTCTCGTTGGCACCTGTTGGTTGAAATGTACATGTCTGATGATCACATCATTTACATACTGGTAGCCTCATAAAACATGTCAGGCATAGGATGATTTAACAACAGAAAAAAAGGATTAAAGGAATCTGTAGTGCTCCAATAGCAGGGTAATTCTATGTAAAACTCAACTGTCATTGTGTATCCATACATTTGATATTTACAGTACAGACATTAGTATACATATCTAATACTTAACAATGATGTTCTCTGTTCAGATAGAATGAAGATTTTTAGCACAAAGACTTTTGAAGATACAACTTGCAGAAAGCCTTAAGACAGTCTCACCTTGAGCCACCAGCTTACAGAAGCCGGCAAACTTGGACTTGTCAAAGTTGCGATACAGGTGGTCCAACAAACCTATACGGTCATTCACCTGGGGGTAGATTACAATTGTTGTGGAGTTATTTATCATATGCAATATTCTGATTCACAAAGACATGTTGAAGACTAGTTCAGAAGGTGAAGTTTAAGTGCATGCATATGCAAACATTTTGAATGGACAATAGTTTTATCCTTAAACAAGAAATTGGAGTTTTCAGACTTCCAGTTCCCTCCATTTCCTGTGTCTAACCTTTTGACCTCCTGTTATTCTTACTCCTGTCAATATCCCCCCCACACACACACACACACTGTAAATCTACTCTATCCCTAAAGATAGACACACAAACCCACAACTCAGCCAACTAAAATAATACTTCCAGTAGTTCCCGATAAGCAATTAGCGTAATATGCTAAGCAGCCTTGTATTCCAAAAAACTACATATCATGTATAATGAGTTTCAAAACTTCTGTAAGCAATCTAACATTTAAATGCCAAGTATTGTGATCTAACAGAAGCATTGGTATCCACTAAATCACAGCATGTTACTTACCTTGAAGTACTCAAACATGGCCAGTTTGAGGTAACTTGTGTCAGACGGGGGTTCCTGGAAGTTATCGTCATTGTCAAACACATACTTGACTGCCTTCTGAGCTATCCAATAGGCTGCAGGAAACATGACACATAATGTCATGTAAAAAATCACTATTATTATAATCAGACAGCAGATTTCCACCTAGCGGCAAAGCATATACATGTATTTACCAAGTTATCATGAACAAGAAATCAAAGATCCATGAAGTATTTGAGTTGTTGCAAATTTTTTGTTTTATTCATTATTGCAAATTTCCCTCCTCAATTTCTGTCACTTTACTTTCTACAGTAACTACAGATTCACAAAACAAACACACAAACAGAGCTACTGAAAACAAAACCTCTGTTTACACGGAGATAAAAAATAAATGTCAAATAAAATGGTGTTTCTAGTATACTTGTACCAATAATTACCTCCCCCCTCGTCCCCCATCATGTGTCCCCAGCCTCCACAGCCGTAAGTCTCGCCGTCTGGGTTGATGAGTTGACAGTTGGACCCGGTCCCTGCGATCAGCACCATACCACCTGCAGACCGTACAGTACATGTCATGTGGTACAGTTATCAGGGCTCAAAATTCTTAGGTGCAGGTAGGCAGTATTTCAAGCCTTGGTCATTAATGATTAACTTGTACTGTGTGCGCTGTCACTTGTCATTGTTACTCTTACTAGCATTCATCAAACAGCAAAAAATGAGAGATTTCAGACTTCCAGGTGCACATATATTTGGGCTTCTGTTACCTACAGGTTCCTGTGTCTGACCTTTTAACCTGTCATTCTGCCTGGTAATCTTCCCCATCCTACTTGCTGTCAACCTACTCTCAAGTTCACCCTATTTTCTGTGTCTGACCTTTTAACCTATCATTCTGCCTGGTAATCTTCCCCCAACCTACTTGCTGTCAACGTACTCTCAAGTTCACCCTATTTTCTGTGTCTGACGTTTTGACCTGTCATTCTGTCAAACTACTCTGGGCAAACAAAAACACAAACACACAGTTCAGCCACCCAAAAGAATACCTCCGTACATGGAAGTGAATAACATAACTACCAGTATAGTATAAAAAAAACATACCAGACTCGCAGACAGTGGCGATGGCCCCAAACGTGTCTGTACACATCTTGTAGTTCTCGCTGACGTTGGGAAACTTGGTTTTCATGCCGTCAATCACCTGTTTCTGCCCCTCCTCCTTCTCTCCTCCACTCAGAGACAGGCCCTGGGAACAGAGCAGAGTGTTCATAAATTGATGTGGACATCTTACTTCAAAGCTGGACTCACTGTCTCATGAAGGAACATTATATTCAACTCTTTGTCTATTTCTAGTCTACATTATTATACTGCCCAAATATCAGTCTCAAAATCCTTGCATGTACAGCAACATCTTCTTCCTCCAGACTGCAAAATTAAGAGACTCTTCCTTATCAGTGTTTTCCTCCTGAACACAACTCACAAGCCTTTAAAATCTCCAAAATCTCACACTTGCTGGGGTAGCAAAGTGATAATCTTGTAATTACGAAATCTGTATCTGTATCTGTATCTGTATAGCCGGTATAACCGCCCTTCGGCGTAACACCAACTTTTAAGACGCTCCTGGCAACTACACATTTATGAATCTCACCAGAGCCTTAAGAGGCTTGTCCTCAGGGATGCCTGCTTGTTTCTTGGCATCCACCACCATGTCATTGATGGTTGTCACACACTGGTCCACACCTATTAGCTGACATACAGAGACAGACAATTAGCAACTGTCCTCATGGAATTAGAAACACATCTGATCATGCAGTACAAACAAGACATCAATAATATCATACTGTTATGTAACATTTTTTTGTGAATTTTGCCTTATTCATCATTGGGAATTTTTCTCTGATTCTGCTTAAGCCGTAAGGTGACAAACATATCTCAGGAAATGAGATAACCTTTTCTGGGACCTTTGAACTAACTTCCTGTCAATGTGCCTGGCATGTTTAGCATGTTCAGGGTTATACAAAAGATTTGATGCTGGTTATGTGTTATGGATAGGGGTTGGTATGAGCTGTTTCTATGTCCTTTAGGCTCTAACTAAAAATATTCCATTATATTATTGTCAGACCCCATAGGTGACTTACCCAGTGGTTGGTGCTTGGTCCTTCACTCCATGCCATGATCTCACCCTCAGAGGACATGATCACCATCTTAGAGTGGGTGGCACCACTATAGTGATGATTCAAGTTAGAATATATCATTTTCTGTTAACAGGTTATGACCACCCACAGTCTTGTGATTTATGATTTATGCATTTCTCACTTTTGCTCAATATAAGCCGGTACATACTACAAACTGCACATGTGCACATGTGCAGTTTGATGCATTGTTCGTAATTTATCAAAGTTGAAGGCCACTGAGACAGAAACAAATGCATAACACATGACATGGTCTAGACAAAAACAAGCTTACACAAGCTTTAAGTCAGAGGCCTTCTGCTTTGACCTTGTGCATGCAATGCTGAAGTGCACTTGTTTTATTTTGGTCTTGGTAATTTCAAAGTAGTGCATATTTGTCTATTTGGAAACCAAGTTGTTTACTGGGCACCTGCAGTGTGAGTGGATCTAATAAATCATTAATGGAACAAAGAAATTCGAGAAGGCATTCAAACTGAAGTGGCAGTAGGTTCTGCATGCCTTTTTGTGAGGCAAACAGCAAGCTTTTTTAGTCTAACTTTATTCATGGCTGTTCAACGTTAAGCGATGTTATATCATGAAATGTAACTGGTTGCCTTAACTATCTAGCATATTATTTCTTACATCCTGAATTCACAGTAATATGCATTATCAACTAATAGGTATTTGTGGAACGCCAGATTGCACCAAACTTACAGTTAAATTGGAATATGCGTCAATTAACCATTTGCCAACGCTACAAAAGCACTGTGTAAGTTGCCATGATCCCCCCATGCAGCCCCTCACCTTAAGACAAGGGTCACGCCTCCTTTCCTTTCCAAATCTCAAAATGTACTCTTATTACATTACACAATATCAATCGAAATAGAGACTCAGCAGAATTATCAATGAAAAGCTATGGTCCAACCATTATTATTATTACCTACAATTGAACCCGGGTCCTTTTGGCGATCAGAAAAAGGAGAAAATGAGGAAAACTCACCCTTCAATACCGCCGAAATATTCTACTTCCGCCATGTTGTCAGATCACCTGCTCCAATCTTAGGGATCTACCACTAGCTGACCGAGGCTGACATTGGACGTAAATGGCCAAAAAATGTATGCGTCTCACAAATCTACTGACCATGTAAAATTTACAGACAGTTATAGTAAACATACAACTCTTTAAAAGGATACACTGAAGAGATATCAAGGAAAATTGAAGATGTGTCCTCGAAAATATAGTGGTCTGTCCCTTAGGTCAAAGGGCAAACAAAGATGGCGACGGAGGGATGAATTTTTCGTTGTCTTTCATTTTCGCACAACTCTAACCTCCAAAATGGACCGTTTTGTGTGGACAAACGGGCTGTTAGAGCCGTATGAGGACCTGAAGGCTCAGCAGCACGGGATAAAGATCTACGACGGCGAAGACAAGACGCCGTTTGAGTACGGGACGCTGATTTTGACCAGTCATCGCCTGATCTGGCGCGACCATAAGCGGTCCGACTGTGTCCTGGCCCTCCCCCTGTCTCAGATTGTGTTTCTGGAGGAGACGGAGTCAGGGCTGGGGAAGAGCGCGAAGATCGTGGTACATCTGAGCCCCGCTCCGCCTAACAGACCTCCGGGGCCGGTGGCATCTAGTCAGAATTCCTACATCAGGTGGGTTCCAGGCCTGGTGGGTTCATTTCTCAACCAAATTTGGCTAACTGTGGTAACCATTCTCCACTGGCAGCTCAGTAATACCCCATTTTGGGGTTGTTCGAGGGTAAACAAGAATTAAGAAAAAGAGTTAATAATATACATTGTGTATCCAGGTTGTCCTTCAAAGATGCTGGTGAGACTGAGTTCCATCGCAGGTTTATTGAGGAGCTCGCCCGCCGGTCCTGGGAAATGACACAGCCGCACCCAGCACAACAACAGCAGGCTGAACAGGCTGGGCCAACTGGGGCCAGGAGAGCAGGTGTGTGGGTCAGAGGGCAGATGTTTGTGGGGCAGGTGTGTGTGGGTCAGGACAGGTGTGTGTGTGTCAGGACAGGTGTGTGTGGGTCAGAGGGCAGGTGTGTGTGGGTCAGAGGGTAGGTGTGTGTGGGTCAGAGGGCAGGTGTGTGTATGGGTCAGGGGGCAGTGCGTGTGGGTTAGAGGGCAGGTGTGTGTGGGTCAGAGGACAGGTGTGTGTTGTCAGAGGGCAGGTGTGTGTGGGTCAGAGGGCAGGTGTGTGTGGGTCAGAGGGCAGGTGTGTATAGGTCAGAGGGCAGATGTGTATGGGTCAAAGTGCATGTTTTTTGGTCAGAGGGCAGATGTGTATGGGTCAGAGGGCAGGTATTTTTGGGTCAGAGGGCAGGTTTGTATGGGTCAGAGGGCAAGTTTAGCTGCATCATGTTCAGTGTGAACATTATACATAGCTCTGTTTTTTGGTCAACAGGAATTGTTGGCATAGAGCGAAAGCTGGAACAGAAGAGAAAAGAGACTGACCAAACCATCAGTGTGGCCTTCGAGGACCTGAGTAACCTGATGGAGAAGGCCAAGGACATGGTCAGCCTGTCTAAGACCATCGCTCAGAAGATCCAGGATAAACAAGGAGCTATCTCAGAGGATGAGACTGTTCAGTTCAAGTCATATCTACTCAGCTTAGGTACATTTCTCAACAATTTGGTACCATACATTAATGATTAAACAGTATTGCATCTAGTTTTTCTTCTTCTTCCATCAACTGCTAGATGCAGGTGGCTGTGAGTTTCTTCCAGTCCATTCTGTTTCCAGCAAGGTTGGCAATCTACTTTGGTTGAAGGTGTTGTATAGCATTGCTCAGAAAACTGTGTGTATATATACCTGAATGCACCTAGAATTGGACCAGTGTACTGTGCTTGATTTTTGACTGTGGGTGCACCTAGATATCTGTGAAGGTTTAGTGTCCTGTAATGTACTCTAGTATACTGCATAGATTTTGACATTAAGTGTCAGAAAAGATCATATATGTATGTGTGTGTATAACATTTACTGTGTTTTTTTTTAGAACTTCAAAGTAATACAAGCTGATTCAAGCTCTGAAGACAATAACACAATACAAGCTCTGTCTAAATTCGAATAGAGAGGAACTTAAAAAGTATTGGGAGTTATGATAATTTGAACATTGTATGAAAATTTGTACACTATTTTGATTATAGGTACTGTAAAAGGTAGGGAAACTGTATGAAGATCTGTATCCTTTTTTATGTAAAACAATATAATATAATGCAAATAAAATATTCATCAAGTTATATCACATTTATCAATAAATATTTAAAATATTTATCATCCCCTGCTGCACAGGTATCCCCAACCCAGTGACCAGGGAGACACATGGGTCAGGTACCAACTACCACATGCAGCTCGCCAAGGAGCTGGCACAGGTACTGCAGCAGCCGCTGGAGGAGTGTGGGGGCATGATGTCACTGGCTGACGTGTACTGTCGTGTCAACAGGGCCAGGGGGATGGAGGTCAGCAGATGTGTCGTTCAATTTTCTTAACCATTGCCTTGTTCTCTTAATCTGTAACCAACTCAAATTTGATACCAAAAGGGACCTTCAGTGGGGAAAGACGTTAGAATGGAAGAAAACGTGTTTTGTTACCTGATGGTACATTTGTACTTTTTTCATTGGTATGGTATTTAGTTATGTAGACTGGTTATGATTTGCTGAGTTATTACATTCAACTGCAATTGAGATACAGTAGGTCTAAAGAAAAGACACAGGAAATGGGGTGAACTTGAATGTCCCAAAAACATAAAATACATGTACTTCTTGGAAGTCCAAAATCTCTACTTTGTTGTTCTTGATGAAAGTCTAGAATCTGTATAACTCTATATGATTGTAACAAGTATTGACGTCTGTTTTACAGCTCCTATCCCCTGATGACCTCCTGAATGCCTGTAAGCTGCTGGAGGCCCTGAAGCTGCCCATGCGTCTGCGGGAGTTTGACTCCGGCGTCGTTGTGGTCCAGCTCGTGTCCCACTCGGAGGAAGAGGTCGTCCGCGAGACTTCCCGTCTGGTGGAGGAGTCCGGGTCTCTGACGGCGGAGGAGCTGTCCAGAGTCGCGAGCTTCTCTGTGATGTTAGCGAGAGAAAGACTGCTGACCACGGAGAAGAAAGGCCTGCTATGCAGAGATGACACGGTGGAGGGTCTGCGTTTCTACCCTAATCTTTTCAGTACAAAACCAGTCATGGAACCCTAGCCCATAGTAATGTGATTTTAAGAGTGAACTCAAATACACCGTAAATTTGGTCCTTAGATTTCATCAAATAGAAAGTTGTTTGTGTATGTTATGAAAAGTGAGCTAAATTATTGTCAGCTCTGACATTGTGAAGGAAAGTACACCAAGATTGTATGGCCATAGATAAAATTATAATTTATAGTGTAGACTGTGAATTTCACACACACTGCTGTATATTGGTATATATCCTATTGGCTTTTGAAATGAGATGCCTCCGGGCTATCCTGAATGTCTCATGGAGAGACCACATCAGAAATGAGGAAATCCGAGCCATGCTGGGAATGGAAAATACCATAATTGACGACATTCGTAAAAGAAGGCTGAGGTGGTTTGGTCACGTTCAGAGGAGACCCCCAGACTCTTTGGTATATGGGGCCTACCATCAGGATTTCACAAACCCCAGACCTAGAGGTAGACCCCCTAAAAGATGGCGGGACCAGATAGTACAGGACACGGGGTGGTCCCTCAAGTACGCTGAACGAAAGGCTAAGGACCGTGATGCCTGGCCGGAAAAAATGAAGAGGAGCAAGGGGCCAGTTCTGGCCTAAGCAGGTAGGCAGGCTGTATATTTGTCTAGAAAAATAAAATTCCTTTTACATATGTTGTATGTAGTCATACCCATTGTGTTCATTTAACAACTGTCAGAAATAAACAAAATATCTTTTGATACCAAGGAGTAGGTTTCCAATGTGCTGGTGAATAACCAGAGTACATGTATAATTGTTACGCAAAAGTAAAGATACTTTTATGAAAATGATCACCTCTAACAATGAGATTCGTATTTGGGACATGGGTGAAATTTTGAACTGCTCTGTGATGTTAGAATAGACATTTAGAGACATACTAGTACATGGGAGGAAGTTATGCACTAAACATGAATTTGATATGTACATTGTACTTTGACTCAGAAAACAAACATTACTTCAAAGCATACAGCATGCAATGGTTGTGGTTTTTATACTACTGATATGTTGGGAGTTGAGGTAAATAATTTTTTTTTTTATATGTCATAGATTACGACAAGCTTGAAGCGAGTCCTTTTTGATTGCTTTATTGTAAAGTACAATACATGTAAACACATATACATACACATGTGACTGGACAAGGAAAATGGCAGGTCCTACATGTCTAATCAAAGATACATTGTACACTGATGACATAAACCTACACTATCGGCAGTATGAGTACTACAGCGGCCAATATCACTGCCTATGACAGGGATATTGAGACCTTTATTGTATGTTTCTATCAAATAGAAATGTTGGATGAATGTTGTAACATATCTATCTTTACTCACACATAACAAGAAGTAAAATACAACAACCAACATGTAGTTACTTCCAGGTACAGAAGTATTGTCTTGGGTGGCTAAGCTTTGTGTGTGTGTATCTGTTTGTCCAGTTAGAGTAGGTTGACAGTATGTGGGTGGGGGAAGATTGACAAGCAGAATGACAGGAGCTCAAAAGCCAAAGGTCAGACAAGAAGTGGAAGATTGCATGAGCACCCTTCAATACTTGTCGAAAGTCTGAAATCTCTGACTGTGACAACAGTTTGATACATTACAAAAGCATACTGTGCTACTGTCGTACTAACAGCTTGAGTGTTTATCATGAATTTGGCAAAAGTACACAAAAGACTTAAATTTGTAGAAGCCAATGTCAATGTTATTATAAAGGGGATTCATATATGTATAAAAGTGCCCTTATTAAATAACAGACATGTCATACTACAGGAAATGAAATACCCAGCATGTTATTAATCTGCAATTGACATTTTCCTCCCTAACATGGATGTGCACTTTATGTTTAGTAATCCCTGCAAATATGGTGTGTCTTACACCCATTTCCACTAGACCCTGTGACCACTGAGCCTGACAAATCGCTCAACGAATTTCATATATAAACTAATCTGTATATGTTTGTATGTCTTGTCCTTAAAATCATATACTAGTAGTGCGTCATATACCACTTATGAAATCAATGGTCATACAAATGCAGATTGGTAGCTCAGTTGTCACTCAGTCATCACCGTCTAGGGGAAAGGTGGGCTAAGCTAGTGAAGGCGTTCACGGAATTCTAGGTAAAACTATAGCTAGATACATCTTAAGATACATTGTATTTTTCGTATGTCTACAAATTTGCTTGATGATCAAACACAGTAGTATACATGCATTCACAACACAGTGATTAACAGGCTGTCTATCGTAGACTATCCAGGATCTAGATTACTACTGGTGAGAAACATTTTGAGCAAAAAAGTCTGGATGTTAAAGGCATCCAATGCAATTTCAGGGCGGCAAAACAAAAATGTTCTGCAGGATACTAGTATCTGTCTGATATTGACATTTACATTTCGTAGCACATTTCGTCCTCATTCCATACTTGAAGCGTTTGAAATAGCCCCCAAATGCTATGGGATAGGTATGGGATAGGTGATGATCAACTACATTAAAAGAATGATTAGTAAATTGACTTTGAAAATCCAGTTTTACTGCCCTAAAATTGCATTTTAAACCCGTGCATGAACACCCCTACAAACTAGATCACCATATAGTGTCCCTGACAACACATGTTGAGGAGAAGCTGCATGATGATGATATAGTATAATCAAAACGATCCTTAGTTATACACATGTCGCACAATCATTTCTTTCGTAGTAATTGGTAACACGATCTATCAATCAATCAACTTTGTGAAGCTAAACCATGAAAACTAAAAATCCTACGCTATTCTATGTAGTAATACCCCCGTCACATTGCGCGTAAATCGATCGGCCGACTAGTTGGCGAGCTCTAAACGACATTTACGGCCGAAGTACGCCCGATGTTCCGTCGAGCATCGCGCGAATTTTCGGGATCGCCGGCGATTTTTTGGAGTCGGCCGAAGCTCGCTGACACGCGAAACGTGTTCTTAACATCAGCGACTAGTCGCCGGCGATTTTTGAGGTCGCAGAGCTCGTTTCCAGCTTGCGCGTAGCTCGCCCGTAGCTCGCCACTGTGCGGCCGAGAGTCGACCGATATTCGGACGTACATCCCACGAGTCTCGGCCGTATTTCGTCTTTGAAAATCGGGCGACGGTCGCTGAATACGGTCGACCCTCGCGCGAGCTTCGCGAAATATTCGGGCGACCCTCTTCCGTACCTCGCCCGACTTGCGCAAGTTTTAAATCGTGCGTGCTTCGAGCGAGCTTCGAGCCAGTGTCGGACGAAGGTTCT